CTAGCCACCCCAAACCGTAACAACAGCAGCCTTTGAATGCCTGGATAACTCTGCACAGTGAAATGAATCCTGGGGGACCAACTCCCTAGGCAACCCTCTTTGAACAGGGGCTCAGAAGCTTTCTTCTCAAATGAAGAGTTTACACTTTTGCATTTTGAGACTAGAATGGGTGAGATCTTGCTGATCCCTGAGACTCCCTCAAGGTATCTTTCTTCTTGTTCCTGTACAAAGTACTTTTTTTACTGATGCTAATCTCTTCCATACTTCTTTTGGGCCCAACTTTACATGCAGTTCCCTCTGGGCTAAAATTTAAGTTTTTCACTATTTCTGTTTTGCTTTTTACCTCTGATTCTTATTTTAAAATTTGTTAAAACATCAAGAAGTACCCATGCCACAACCTGCATGTTGGACTGCTTTGAAATTTCAGGTACCAAATCAATTAAATCACCACCTTTAATCCCAGTCTCCTGCAATGCCTCAAGACATGGGCAAAGTGTAGATAACATTTTTTGCCAGAGTGTGGCACACAGTCCAAATTCCAGTAGAGTTCTTGATCCCAATTGAAATCTCCTGAGACTCGCCTTTACTGTCCACATTTCTGGATGAATGTAGGTCTTCTAAGCTCCAACCAGAATTACTCATCAGGTTCTGCTTACAATATTTTAAGCTTTACCTATCTTGAATCTCTAAACATCTCCGCTCCTCTCATAAACAACTTCCAAAGCCCTCTGAGCTAGATGGTTGGGCATAGCCACAACAACTTCCCCACTTCTCTGGTGCCAATATTCTCTATTAGTCAACTCTTCAACTACTGCAACACAATACCAGATACTCAAAACTTAAAATGTGAAAGGTTTAATTCAGTTTATGGCTTCAGGTTATTTAGTACATGATTGGTAGTCTCAAAGAAAGGAACATCATTGTGAAAGGGCATGGCAGAGCAAAGCTGCTTAGGTCATAAGGGTCAGGAAGCAGAGAAGGGCAGCGGTCCAGAAAGGAAATGATGAGGGCCATACACAGACTGCAATACCATAACTCCATGATCTACCCAGATATATCCACGAGTGTGTGCCACCAGTCCCAGGAATAGATTCCAAAGCCAATCAAGTTGACTCTCTACCCTTACTGCCACACTCCATCCCTTCTCAACTTCATATCCAAACACGTATCCTTAAACCATAATCTCCAAACAAGAGATTTCTCAGGGCATTTGAGTAATTTAGGCCATGATCTAAATGATGAACATGAAATGATCTGTGGCAAAGAATAATGGGGAGAGGAGTGTGTTTCTGGCAAGAGCCACAGAATAAGATGCTGAAGCAGGTACAAGCTGGGGTGTAGAGTGAAGCAGAATGGATGGAATGTGGAAGGAGTTGAGCCTGGTGAGAGAGCAGGGACTATGTTGCACAGAGTCTTGTGAATTGATGGCTGAAATTTATCCTAAAAGCAAAGTTAAGTAGCCAAAGAAGAATTCGGGCAAAGAATGTGATTTCAGACCTGAGCTCTGCAAAGCTCATTTTGATTGCATTGTGAGAACTGGATTGGAAGAGGATAAATGGATAGATTCAAGATCTACTTAAGTAGAACTGAAAGTATTTGATAAAGGATTGGATTCGAGGATTGAGGGAAAGGAGAAATAATGTCAAGAATGATGCCCATAAGCCTGGGTTGGCGAGTGAATGTGAAGTGGTGATGTTCATTGAGATAGCCCACTCCTGAGGTGGACCAGGTCTCCTAGGAAAGTTCTTTGTCCCATAGGGTATAATGAATGTGAACTGTCACAGGATACATCAAGGGAAGGTGGCTAGGAGGTAGTTAGATAGGGGAACCTACAGCTCTGGAAAAAACCAAGGCTCACAACCTAGATTTGGGAGGAGTCAGGACAGAGATAGAAATTGAAAGCCATCAGAGCTGCTGAGATAATCAAGGGATGGTGCTGCACTGAAGGGAACAGCAGACTGTCCCATGTTCCAGAAGCCAAGGGAGAAGGGGAGAGTGGGAAATAGTACAATACTTCCAAAAGTTAGAGCATGTGAGAACTGACTATTGCTCCTTGGTTTGTGCACAGACCACTGGAGACTGCTGTGGTTTGGATCCAGTTTCTTCACTCCAAAACTTATGCTGAAATTGGGTCTTTGATGTAACAGTGTGGGGAAATGACAAGAACTTTAAGAGGTAGTTCGGTCATTGAGAGGGATTCATATAGTTCTCAGTGGACTTGGTTAGTTACCACGAAAAGCTGTGCTTCCTGTTTGTTCTTTTTGGACCATGCCCACTCACTCTTCTGCCTTTCTGATGTATTAAGCCACAGCACAAGGCTCTTGTCACAAGCTAAGAAAATGCTAGTGCCATGCTTTCGGACTTTCCATCCTTCATGACCATGAGCTAAATGAATCTCCTTATGAATGACCTATTCGTGGGTAATTTGTTTTGTCAATAAAATGCACTAAGATGGTTTCAGTAGAATGATAAGAGGGGAGTACAATCCTGATTACAGGATTGTTTAGTAATAGAGACTAGTGGAGGAAGGTGGGTGAACAATAACTAGAGGGACCATAAGTTGAGGGGAGGCTCTTACCTGTATTGAAGAGACTTGACTTGAAATTATGCCAGTACTGATGGGAAGCAGGAATGCAAAAGTGGTTCAAGATATGGGAGGAAGAGTGAACAAGAGGCAGAGCAAATATTCCCCTTCTGGGTACTTTCCCAGAAGATCTAAAAACATCATATCACAGAGATATATGTGCACCTATGTTCATAGCAGCACAATTTGTAATTGCTAAATTGTGGAAGCAACCCAAATGTCCATCCACCGAGGATTGGATAAGAAAATTGTGGTACTTTTATATAATGGAATATTACTCAGTTATAAAGAAAGATAAACTTGAGGCTTTTATAGGTAAATGGTCACAACTAGAAACCATACTCATAAGTAAAATAAATCAGACTTGCATGTGCAAGCACTGCATTGTCTCACTAGTGTAAAACCTGAAAGAGCTAATAAAAACTTGGAGGTATGATAATCATTGTGAAATGAAACAAAAATGCTCAAGGGTAAAGGGCAACTGGGATGTGGGAAAAGAGAATGGAAACAAGGAGAAATTTTGTATGCATGTATATACAAGATAGTTAACATAGTTGATCTACTGTCTTCTATTTCTTTGCTGAAAGAAACTGTTAATGAGTCCTTGATTGATCAATATTGCATGTCTGTATTTGTTTTCATGAGAAACCACTTTGAAGATGTCTATATGTAATACAAGGAGCATTGTTAATTTCCTACCACTTTGTTTGTAACTCTGTATTGTCTGTATTGTTCTTTTGCTATTTTGTAAATGGTTATCTGTCCGTTAATGTTTTCCTCCTTCTATTTTTAAAATAAAAAGAAAATAAAAATAAGAGGCAGAGCAAAGTTCCCAAGAAGAATGTGAAGTGGGACGAAGTGAAGGGGACACAGAGCACTTGGTTTGTGAAAAGGGAAAGTGAGAGAAGACATTTCCCAATTTAGTAGCAAGAAGAAAGCAGGAAACATTAGATATAGTTGCAAGTAATTTCATACATTTGGTTGAAAAAAATTGGGAGACTTCCTAATCAAAGGCATATATAACTATACAGAGAGATAGACATGGATGGATCGATAGATAGATATAGAGCTAGAGCTAGAGATGAGCTAGAGCTAGAGCTCGAGCTAGAGCTAGAGAGCTACAGCTAGAGAGCTAGAGATAGAGAGATATAGAGAGATATGGAGATAGATATAGAGATAGAGATATTTTTCTATGGCAGGGTCAGATATCTGAAGACCGTAAACAAGGCCAGAAATAGCCACAGTTGAAAATAGGGGTATTTTGAGATAGAAACAAAAATACGGAAAGTTTTAGGAAGAAAATTTCTTTTCAGAACTCATGAAGATACACTGAAACGGTTTTCAGGGAGGACACAGTGTCGTTTTCTGATTCGTGTGGCGCAGTGCAAGTTTACCCTTCTCTCCCTGGAGCTGGGCGTGGCTGTGCTGCAGGAAGCCTTGTGGTTAGGTGGTAACTGGTTCCCTGGATGATTCAAGAGTGCAGCCTTATTTGCACAGGAGGGACACATTACTCTTGCTTTATGCATGGTCACATCTGTGTGACCTGTCTGCAGAGGGCAGACGCTCCCGTCTGCCAAGCCGCACCAGCTAACCTGCGTGGCAAAAGCATTCCTTTGTGTAAGACCCTTCCAGCACTGCCTGGCCCTCTGGCTCTTCTCCTGTTACTCTCAGCAGTCAGGCAGGAGGAGGGGCAGACTTGGAGGTGGGGACAGGAAAGAGATGCACGAATAGAAAACTGAGCGCTAAAGAGGTGTGGGGAAAAGGAAAGGTCCCACGCGGGCGTAACGCGCGGATTGGCAGAAATAAATGGAAAGTCCTAGAAGCCTCTGCTCACTGCAGCGGTCAAGAAGGGGGAGGAGAAAACCGCGAGGGACGGGCCAGAGGGTGGGAGCTGTTAGCAAGTTATTTAAGAGCCAACTTTCTGGTCGCTTTTCCTGTGTCCTTCTGAGGAAGTTCACAGACTCACAAAGCAGCCCAAGCCCCTTGGCTGGAGCGTACAGGTAAGCGGCTGCCTGGTAGCATTGCACGCCCCAGGACTGGGCACCCCTGCATCGGGGTTCCCCGGGGAGCCTCAGGTGGCTGCTAGAGGGCCACGGAGCGGGACAGAGGCAGCCCCACTTCTCTGACTCCATTTCTTCGCCCCTAACTTTGCGCTGCTTAGCCCCACTTCTGAGCGGGTCTGCTCAGTACTCTGCAAAGCCACCAGGAAAGTGTTGCTTGCTAAGCAGGCCACGGAGGGAGTGTGTGGAGGCTCACCCAAAGGACAGGGCCCCTTTCCTCGGGCACACAAAGGCTTGGGGGATGGAGGAGAGCCAGGAAGGACTGTTTGGCTCGCCTCCTGCGCTTAACCCTCCCCTACCCCAAAGCAGGAGCTTCCTGCTTCCAACCCCTTCCCTGACCTCAGGGTTGGGTGCCCGCTGCCCTCCGGCACTCCTCCTGGGGAGGTCTGCACCTGCTGTATCTGACTGGCACCTGGAAACCCCAGGTAACACCTTTACCTGCTCCTTCTCCAATAGTCTTCTGTCCTGCTCTTCACTCCTCTCCCTCAAGCCCTGTCTGCCCCTAATAACCCCGCCTTTGCTGTTTTTCCAGGGCTGATTTTTCCTGCCTCTGTCCATTCTTAAATCATGTTCTCACCGTTCACCCCTTAGCTGCCAGGAGAAGACTGTCTGCAAATATGCTGACAGGCATTCATGGAGATCCACTGGACCTTAACCCTCCAGCAGCCTTGTCTCCATCCACGACCTTCTGGTCTTTACCTTCGGTAAAATGGTTATAGTTCTTGACCTGAGCAAATTCTGTGCTTCTCAGCCTCGTTGCTATTCCCCCACGTTTCAGAACAGTCTAGTCTAATTGACTCTATCAGGATAACACTTTGTTTTTAGAAGGTGTGCCTGGTTCCACACTGCCAGGCGTTGTGATTGGCGGATCCAGGCACTCACTGCCCGAAACAGAGTCTGCCTTCACTTGGCTGGGTAGTCCACAAGCACTCATTGTGCGCAACTGTAAGGTGTGTGGTGTTTTAACTGGCCCCTGGCCTGCACTGAAGGAGCAGAATGCCACAGGGCCCTGTTGGTACCACCAACCAAGCAAGTTAGAGAACAGGCTATTATAGACTTACAATTGCAGTGGCCTCCACCCCACCACCTAATCTCTCTCTCCAGCTTCTGCTCCAGGAGGTTCTTTCTCCAGCACAGCTCCTACCTCCTCACACCCGGTTGAATTTCCTTATGATCCTTGTCATGCTCCTCCCTAACCCCACTAGACTTTAAGCTCTCTTAGCAGAGATCCCTGTCCTGTACCCTGATGGATCTCTCCCAAGTGCCTAGATCCCAGCTGGCACAGGGTAGCCCTCAAAATCTATCAACTGAATGAAACTGCAAAAGTAAATGGTTTGGAGGACAACACTGATGTGGGCATTGTTGCCTAAATCTAATCTTAAAAATGACTTAAGCCCCATAAATCTCCATGAAATGGGTATAGGTGCATCCATATGGCAATAACCATCTCTTAGTAAGATGCTTTCATTCTAGGGTATTGGAGAAGAGAAAAGCTTGCTCTCTAAAATGGATGAAGTTGCTCATTTCTTCAAATAAACCCTCATTCTCTTGCTTTCCATGTGTTTGACAAATACCAAATCTCCCCGAGATCCTTGGGGAGCTGTGCTTCATCATTAGACTAATCCTTCCTACCACTTCTCCATTATTATTTATGCAGAGCTCGGAGTGTGTTGCTCAAGTGCTATCACACACAGATATGTCTGCTTCTCTATTTTTGAATGCTGGTCTCAGATGGAACTCGTTTCAATTCCTTTTCCATGGCTTCCCCCCAAGGACCTTGGAAAGCTGAGAATGTCTGACAATCCCAGGACCACCTTTGCGGGCAGGAGAGCAGTCCCCCCCAACAACTCCAATGCAGCAGAAGACGAACGCCCCACTGAGGAGCTGCTGGGATTGGTGCCCCGGGGTGTCAACCTGGAAGGTAGGAGCATTACTGTGTCAGGCACAGCCCAGGCTGGCATCTCCTCCCAGGCAGGCACTAGGTAAGAAAGATGCCTCTGCCAGTCTCTGGTCTTAAAGAAAGGAGACCAAACTCCTCTTGTAAAAGCACCAGAGGCTGGATCCTTGTCCCAATTCTACCACTTACCGATTGTGTAACCTCAGGGAAATCATTTTGTCTTTTTCCCTCTCAGCTATTTCCTATACAAAATAAAGGTGCTGGATTGACTGAGGCCTCATCCAGCCCTACTGCTCTGCACTTTAACAATGCTCTCTAGCTGGAAGATTCCACTTCCAAAATATTGTGACTGTTTTTCTTTGTCGGGCTTGCACCTCCTTCCTTCCCCCGCCCTCCTCTGTCCACGGCTGTGAATTTCAGAGCTGGCGAGAAGTGCCAGATTCTGACAGTAATAGAGACGGAAGCCCTCTATTTGTCTCCAGAGCAGCCTAGGGAGCAGGCCAGGTGAGTTGCTTTCCCTGCCTCTCGCCTCTGCCTGGTCCTGAGGGACCTGCTCTGGGTGCAGAAGCCACCAGCTGACCTCCTCTCAGCCCTGTCAGCTGTGACAAGGTCCAGGTGCCAGAGCTGGCTTGGTGAAGCAGCTACCATTCCCTTGAGCCACGGCAGGGACATTCAGGCTCCTGTCCCTGAATGGCATCTAGCTGGGAGTACTTTTGGTCAGAGCATTTATGCACCAGAATCCAAGTTTGGTCCTGAGGGCTCTCTGTGCTGCACGTCATTGAGGGGTAAATACCCGCAGGGTGGAGTAGGTGAGGATGGTCACCTGGTGATATGTGATTCAGCTGCTTCAGAATGAGTCCAGTGCTGAAAGCCCCAGGTGGATGCAGGGCTCCCAGTAGCAAAGGGAGAAGACAGTATTTGTTGATTACCAAGCAATCCAGCAAGTTAAAACCTTGCAGATGAGTTTGGGGGCACTTTTCCCCTAAGAGGAAAGAAGACCCAGCTTCCTGCCCCTGAGCCCAGGACAAGTGATCATAGTGCCCCAAAACTCAGTTTTCCCATCAGCAAAATGGGAGCAGTAGCTACAAGTTGTCCTGAGCATCAGAGTGCTGAGTCCTGTGATCACCTTGAGGCCACAGCACATGACCAGTAATCTCCACTGATTTGCAGTGGGCAGATGAGCATAGCTCAGTACGGTCAGGATATGACTGATCAAGAACCCAGTGTACAGTGAACTCCATGGGGAATGTGTGCAACCTGTGGCCCCCGTACCTCTGATATCTGAACAAAATGAGCCAATAAGACATCTAAACTGTCAGGGAACTTAAGCAAGCCACTCATTTCTAAAAATCTGAGGTAAATGGTTCTCTGTTTATTTGGGGGTTGGAGTGGAGAATTAATTAACTGAATTATTTCAAGGAATCAGTCATTACTGACCATGCAGTCATGTGCCCACAATGCAAGTCACACTCTGGGGTATTCATGGGAGGCCTCGGCACAGGAACTTGAGACTTCAATGACTATCTGTAGAATGATTTGAATGAATGAACACAGTCACTTGCAAATTGAACGACTCATCATCCCTAGCGTCATTATAATCTTATTAATGGCAAGTTCCAGATTTCAAAAATACACATCCATTTAATATTTTTCACACAGATCTGCTAAGTGCTACAGGATATGAGAATGGGGCCACAGGACCTAGGAATCATAGCTGTAAAGTCCCAAATGAATAGGACAGGAAAAAAATACCACAGTAGAGAATGAGGTTACTCTGTACATTCAGATTTCTATTTAATTGTCTCCAAACCAGGTTATCTGGCACTAAATATATCAAGTGCTCCTTAAGTCACCCCTGCAAAGGGACCAAGATTAGGAAGGCAGAGCCCCTCCTTCTGTTTTTTGCTTTGTTTTGTGTTTCGTTTTGTTTTGTTTTCAAGCCATCATCTTGCAGTTCAACTAGAGGCCACTGGTGGCCTCTAAGAATATTTTTGTCTTCGGGGTCACCCACCCAAGGCGGAGCTTGCCTTTGGTTCCAGCCTAACAAAGCTCTAACTAAACCAAACTCTGTCTTCAACTGTCCTGGGTAGTAGTTCTTCCCTCTCAAAAGCCATTCTTGTGAAACTGACTGACAAATCCAAAGAGGCAAGAAGAGGAAGCGAGAGAAATGGCAGGGTTTTCATTTTGGTTCGTCCTGTGGCGATCAATCGCGATCATCATCACTGTGTGTGATGCACGTAATATATGTTCACGTGTATAATGTACTTAAATAGTGGCTTTTTGAAATCTTTGCTTAGGAATTCTTTTATTAGAGCAAAATCTATATCAAAATGTACAAACTCACTTATGGTTCCTCCCATATACACCAAGATACTGAAGAAAAATTGAAATATTTGAGGTGACCGGCTGGTGTCAGCCAGGCACAGTATACCTGCTGCCCTCACACAATCTTACAGATCTTAATGTTCCTCTGGATGCTCGAGTGTAGCCAGGAAAAGTGCTTTGGTATTACCTCAGCCTGTTTGGATTTGTATCAGTTTCTCAAAAAACTCTTTTTCTAAAACACTCTTCCCCCAACCTCCCTGGTCTCAAGTTGTGTGTGGCTGGAAATCTTATGCTGCAGGAGAGAACTTTGTATTTGTGGGCTGGTTTGACTCTGTTATTAACAATAAATGATCATTTGCACCAGTACTTGGATATTTATTTGGCAAGCCTAATACCTTCAATTCAAACAAAAACCCAAGCCTAGCTATATAAAAAATTTAAAGATGGTAGAGTCTACTACTTGTGAGGCTAAGGGGATCTGTCACCTCCCTCAGAGCAGCCTCCTTCCTACTGCTCTTTGTCAGAACCAAATGAACAGATTACCAGTTAGGAATCAACCTCTCCTTCGTGCAGAGGGGTCAAAAGTTGTTGAAGGAACAAGAGCTGCATTCAGTACATGAATAAGCAATGATGTTGGCAAGGGCCCGTTCGCCATTCCATTCCCTTCGAGAGAAACACAGACAGGCTGTCACGTATGTGTCAGCAGCTGTTCCAGGCTCTCTCTGGGGGATGCCAAGGGAAGTCAGTCCCTGCCTTAAAGCAGCTCTCTGTCCAGTAGACAAAATAAACCAAGAAAAGACCATTGTAATTCGGTGAGGTAAATACTACAATCAAGATCGATGCAAATTTCAGCTAACTAATAGAAAAAGTGTCTGGTAGTGTGGGGTGGAGGAGAGAATGCAGAAAAGATTTAATGATGAGAAGGTATCAAGCAGGGTCTCAGAAGGTGGACAGGATGAGGAGAATTTTCAGCAGAGGGAACAAGATATGCTGGGTTTTGAAGAGTGACTACAGCACAAAAGGAAAAAGAGAAGCCTGAATAAATACAGCAGGGAGGACACTATGCTGGACATTGAAGACTTTCACTTTCATACACAGGGGAGACTCATGAGGGACTCTAAACAGCAGAATTGCATTGCATAAAGGTAATTCTAGTGATGAGGAGGGCGTAAAGAAAAGGAGATACCCAGGGCTGGAGGAGCAGTAGCCCAAAGAGATTTTTGCCCATGGAGGAGGTGTGAGCCTTGTTTCTCTTGGGCTAGCTCACTCTCTCTGAGTAGAGAAATTCTTAAACATTTTAGGGGTTGGGACATCATTAGAGTTAACTGTTTAAAAAATTAGCCCCTGAAGAAAATATCTTCATTTTAATTGTAGTACTTTAAAATTCAGGTGTGCCAAAGATAAGTGAAAAAGCCACTTTTCCTATTGTTCTTTACATCAAAAATGAACCTTCTACCTCATGGAGAGCATTAATACCCACAGTTTAGTAATCACATTACCAAAGATTGCATGAGAATTCAGCACACCAGGGAATTCCTTGAATATGAACCTAAACATTTAACTTATTTCAAGATTCCATCTGTGACAGGTATAATCATTCTCAGAAGAATATTTTTACAACCTAGGGAGAAGATAATCTACTTTTTTCATATTAGAGAAAGAGTAGGAGGACGGACAGGCAGCTGGCTCCTGAGGAGAGATTTTTTTTCTTTAACAATCCATTTTCTGAAGTGTTTGAAATTAGACTAAATTGTGTTAGGTAGAGTTTTTGAAAGCTGTCACTTTGAAAGAGCAAGCCTCCAAGTTTCTAGCCACAATATCTCATGAAGAAAGAGGAAAAGAGTGGCTTAGCATTGAGCTGCTCCATTTTGCCAGGAATAGGGCTGGGAAAGGGAGATACAAATTCATTTCCTGTATGTGGTGAATGGAGTCTGAACAATGAGATGAGAAACCTCTTCCAATGGAGGCTATTTCTTATTAGGCTAATAAGCAAAGCAAAAGTCAGTACACCAGCCTAAAATATGTCTGCCAAATACCCACTGGCTGGAAAAGGGCACTATTGGGTGAAGTGGACCACAGACTACACTGTGGTATTTTAATATTTGTATTCCTATTTTATTACAACCATCTGAAGAGTCCTTGGTCTCATCTGGTTTTATAAGAACTAAATATGCTTGATCCCTCTGTGGCAATATGCAAAATGGTAGAAATTTAAAGAGGTAGGGCTAGTGGGAGGTCCTTAGATCATTAGGATTGTGCCCTTAAAAGAGATTAGGATAGTTCTTTTGGAATCCTTGAGTTAGTTCTCACAAGAGTGAGCTGTTATAAAAGCTTGAGCCAGATGCCTGAAAAGTTCTCTGGCTTCCTGTCTAGTGATGTGGTCTCTCCCTTTCACACCGGCTCCTGCTATCATGATGGCATGTGCCGTGAAGGGATGCAGCCAGGGGCCCTTGCTAGAGCCTGCACCATGTGGTTTGGACTTATAGGTTCCCAAACTGTGAGTTCAAGCTTCTCTTTTCATTCAGAGCACCTCTTCTCTTTGGCAGCACCCAGGCTCAAGTATTTCCTCACAGTAATGAAAAACAGACTAATACACTTAGTAAATCCACTGACCTGTTAGGAGATTACATGGAAGAGAGGGCAACATGGCTGCCATTTTCTTCTCTTTCTAAACAATGAGCAACCCGTGAAGCCCTTCC